ATTACACAAACTAAAAGCTTATGGCATAAGGGGCATGCTACTCAAACTACTCAAAAATTACTTACTAGATCGCAGAATAAAGGTTAACATATCTGGCATATCTTCTAACATATCCGACCCACACTTTATCAACTGTGGCGTTCCCCAAGGCTCAATCATTGGTCCCATATTGTTCCTAGTATATATAAATGACTTACCTGATAACCTAGACTCCAAATGTTTCATATATGCTGACGACACCTCAATATATTTCCCCTTTGACCCAAATAGCCCTAGTGACATTGATCAGACTGTTGCTCGTAATCTCCTTGCTATTGAAAATTGGTCACTTACTTGGAAATTAACATTTAAACCTGAAAAAAGCTTTGAACTTATTTTCCACAGTTCCAGAACCAATAATGTAAATATAAATCACTCAAACCTTTTCAACCAAGTTATTCAGAGAGTACCAAGTCACAAACATCTGGGATATGTCTTTGACCAACTCCTATCAAATAAAGACCACATCTTAGGTCTTCGAAATAAAATTACCAAACTCACAAATCCCCTTAAAGCCCTCAAATCTAAACTGACATCTTCTCACTTGGAAACACTTTTTAAGTCCTACATTCTCCCACACTTTGACAATGGATCACTTCTTTTTGACTCATCTTCCAAGTATTTACTTGGATATCTAAATAGTGCCTACTATCAATGTGCTCTTATCTGTTCAGGTTGTCTACCAGGAACCAGCACAACTAAAGTTCTTAACATATTAAATTGGCCAAGCCTAGAAACTAGACGAAAACTCCAAATTAACAACTTCATGTTCAATGTTAGTAAAGGTACATCTCCACCATACATAAACGATATTTTTGATAAGTTTCGATGTGATACTCAAAGAGAACTACGACATACTCGCCCCTTTAGGCTACCCAACCATGCCACTACTAAATACCTGAACTCCTGCATACCAAATGCAATCTCCCATTGGCTATCTGTACCAATGAATATTCAAACAAGTAAAACCCTCATTGCCTTTAAGAACAACAATCGCAAGCACCTTCTCAACCTTGACATAAACATAATCCCTACCTCAATGCTAAATATTTCTAGAAATGAAGAAACACTTATTAATAGGTTTAGGGTAGACCTGCTCTTCAGGGCTCAACTCTTTGCCCACAATTACACCTTCATCAGCTCTCCTAATTGTTCTTGTGGTCTACCCGAAACTCCAAAACACTTCTTTTTTCACTGCCCTCTGAATGAAAATGCAAGAACCATCTTTTTCAATACTCTCTATACTGAAACTCCTTTGATCCCCACTAACCAATCCACACTTTTAGAATACCTAGCCTTTGGCAATCATAATTTTAGCAAGGATGAAAACACAAAAATCTTTACTCTGACTTCTGCCTTTATTAAGAAATGGCTTACCCCATATTGAACAAGACTGAAGAAGACTATCTTAGAACCTATTGTACCCTGCCTTGTCTTGCAAATATAAATTACATTGTCCCTCTGCCCTGTATTTCCCCCAGTCCCAGCCCAGCTCAGACCCCCCCCCCTTCCACCCCTCTTCATCTTTTTCCCCGCTTGGCTAGAGTGCTTATAATGCCAAAATGGTGATTAGCACTTGAATATGCTCTCTTGTATTTACTATATTACCCCATGTACATCTATTTTTTATAAATAAATAAATAAAAAAAGAGGTCAAATATGCAAATCTCTTAAAATCTTATGAAAAACGAGATTTAGCAAGATTTAAAAAGCTATATGGAAACTACATGTATACTGTTGGATTTTGATTTTCAAATTGCCTGCTGCAATGTCTGTATTGAAACACTGCCAGCGTGGGAGTTTAAAACAGACTTTCAATATCTTAGCCTAAATGTTATTTGATTTTGTATGTACAATTGTACATGCACAGTAAGTTCCCTTTTCACTGGATCAGGAAAACATCCTCATAATGAAACTGAAACATGCAATTTATTTCCTTTATACATGTATACAACAAAGCAGTCTATTATTTCCTCATATTACTCACAATTAAATCTCAAATTGTTTAAATATACCATTATTACCACATATCACTCCAATTGAAGCAATGTATATATACCTACATCAGGCCTGTCAACTTGAGAACATCTAAATTGAATGACTTACAAATGTTGAACACCTTCGTTCAAACACCTTGGTCCAAATCTGAACACCTGGGGGATAGGGATCAAAAAATCTGAATTAAATTTGAATTGTGTGACATATATGCAATCTGCGTGAAGATTCTGAACAAACTGTGTTTTCTTGATGCTTTAGCATTTGTTTTTTGATGTTCTTCTAGTTGCTTGACAATAATAAGGGAAAATGTGTATTTGCATGACATATTCTGTCACGCAAAAAAAACTGGCGGGACTTCAATTTATTCAGCAAATGCATGACAAATATGCAAATTGCAGGACAGTTGTTGCTACATGTACAGATGTATGCATATATGCATACTGTACATAAATATATCATACCATGCTTGGATCAAGTAAGTTCGAAAAAACTATAGTAAATGGACATGTATTTTGTATTGTATTTTGCATTGTATCTTTGAAAATATTTTGCATTTCCTGGCTTAAACTCCTGAATTAAAACTGTCAATCATACGGGTTGAGATTGTAGTTCATTGTCTTATTAGATCCGCATGTTATACCGAAACTCATTTTACTAGAAAGCATTACACTGACATACATGTATGTTGCACCAAAAGGCATGATAGTGAATACCATAATATAATACCAATGTGCATTGAAAAATTAGTATTGTTAGTAACTCAACTGTGATTTGGCATTGAGGGAGGCAGTGTTGACCAGGCAGGTAAATGTTTGAAGTTCACCGAAGTCATTTGTGTCACAATTATATAAATGGGTAACATTATCTATGTATTCCATTGAATTATGTTTTCGAAGGGGAGGGGGTCCCACAAGCCACATTGTGTTTGTATAAAAATACTTGTATACTAGTAAGCATGTTCGGATCATTTATTCCAGGGCAATTTATTTGTGTTGAATTTCTCTGGTGTACACATATATTACACAGTGTACACACCTCATAAGCTAATAGATAATAAAAAATATAATAATAATAAAAAATATTTTAAACGAAAGTGAAAGTAGGTGTGAAAATCAATTTACTCTTCAGACAATGGCTTAAATTATTACTTCAAACATTATTATATGTTCACCAGGCTTCTTCAATTAATTTATTCTTACCAAAAGGTGGTAAATGTCTTCCCTCTGTCCAACATTATAAGCTTATTTATAAGGGCCACGTTCTTATTTCCGCTTTTTCATCCATTTTTAAAACTCCCACTGTTTACAACAACAACCAATCAGATAGGTTTATTTTTTACATCGGGCTGCGCATGCGTATTGGAGGAAGTGGATGATTCGACTGTGAATTTGGACCAACTTTTACAAGTTTTGCCAGGACTTAACCAGGAAATCACATTTCATTTGGTATGTTAGTAACGTTTTTGATCGTATTGGGTATGTAAGAATCATGTGGAATTATTAGCATAAATGTCACAGTTTGAACGATAAATGGAAATATAACACTTCCGGACGCCTTGTGGACTTTCCTCTATAGATAAGATCTAAGATTCCCTATATTTTTAGAATATACCATTGACAGTGTTGACTGTGGGCCCATCAGAGCACATGCTATCTGTTGCAAGACTTACGCCTGCCACAACCGTCACCATGTTAATCAGTGTTTTTTAAGTAGCGCAAGGATCCTGCCATGACCGTGATAGTGTTATCGTGTAAGCCTGGTATAACCGTGACAGGCTGGTATAACCGTGACAATGCTGTATTCTTTTGCAAGGCCTGTCATGACCCTGGAAGTGTTATCGTGGAAGCCTGGCGCGACCGTAGCCTTTATTGTGGTTTATAAGCGAATGTGAATATTAATGTATAGTAGTTATTTTGATTTTGACATGATTAAGGTAGTTAAACACCATGGTCATAGTATTAAACTGTTTAATTGTAATGAGGATCACTTAAAATTGTTAAGGATATTCCTGGCATTAATGTCATACATATTTACTAGTCATTGCAATACATTATAACGGTCATAGTAGAACTAAGCCTAAATCTCTACATTACCACCCTCATACCTGGCCTTGCAATACTATATTACATTGTCACGGTCATACCAGGCTTTGCAATCCCATAATACATTGTCATGGTCATGCCAGGTTTTCAAATACACATTGTCATGGTCAATTATAGCAATCATAAATTTCTACATTACCACTCTCATACCCGAACTTGGAATATTATATCACATTGCCATTGCGGTCATACCAAGCCTTGCAATACTGTATTACATTGCCATGGTCATGCCAGGCTTTGCAATACACATTGTCACGGTTATAGCAGTCCTAATCGTAAATTTCTACATTACCACTCTCATACCTGAACTTGCAATACTATATTACATTGTCACAGTCATGCCAGGCCTTGCAGTACATTGTTACGGTCATACCAAGCCTTGCAGAACTATATTACATTGTCACGGTCATGGCAGGCATTGCAATATAATACAGCATTGTAGCGGTTATACCAGGCTTTCACGATAACATTACCACGGCCATGGCAGGATCCTTGCGCTACTTAAAAAACACTGAATAACATGGTGACGGTTACGCCAGGCGTTAGTCTTGCAACAGATAGGGTCTCCATCAGAGAAGCATCAAAATATAAAAGGCCACAGATATGAAAGCTAAACTGTACAAAACAAACTAAAATATACAAAAGTTAGGACATGTATAAATGTTTCTATTTTTACATATACTGTTTCAATATGGTCCTTTAATTGCTTATTTTTTAAATTCAAAGTAGACTAGATTTTCTACTTCCAACCATTTTTTTTTTGTAAAAAAATGTTCACCACTGTATATTAGACTTCCCGTGTAAATATAGTAAATATTTACCACCCAAGTGGATATATTGAAAGTGAGGAAAATATAATACCTATTTCTATATGCGTTGTGATTCCACATTGTAGTGTTTCGGCAATTATAGCATAAGTTATCAGAACTTTAAATAATACGTCTGTGCTTTCTCTCATCTCCATTTTGCATGATCATGTGACCTTGGTCATGTGACGTAAAGTTAGTCACACAGTTCATACCATTTCAGTATGAAAGGATTGGGCTACAATGCCTGGCGGATCTAGGGGTGGGCCCAGAAAACATAAATTGGGCCCAAAAAAATTTGGGCAAAAGAAGTAGTGTTGTCGCGATTAATCGATACATCGCGATATACATCGCCAAAGCTGATTCTGGCGATGCATCGATGTCTGAAACAAAACATCGATGTTTTTGAAAAAAATTAATTTGCTAAAAATCACCCTTTCTTATCTTATTTTGACGCAAATCGCTTACCTTTCTCATGTCTTATTTCATTTTCCAATGTTTTCTGATAAATATTTCACTTTAAAACTGCTTTAGCTAGTCGAAATGAACCATTAATCTAAAAAAATTACTTTACTTTCATTTCACCCTTACTAGAAGTTCCCGGATGTACCGGATGTTCGGTATTTTAGTGCATTAGCGTTCGGTATTTCAGTGCACTTTTCTCGGACTTTTTCTCGATGTACATCGCGATGTGCATCGATGTTTACTACTGAATATTGCCGATGCATCGATGTACAATTATGGCACATCGCGACAACACTAAAAAGAAGGCCCCAAAAGTGGGTCATTTTGGTCATTACTGGGCCTTGTAAGGCCTTATTTTATAATTCAGGCCAAAATTTGAAGGCCGAGAAAGGGGCCTCAAAATTTCAAATTTGGGCCCACTTTCCGGTTTTAGGAGCCAAACATTTTTTCCGTGAAGATTTTTCTCTGAACTGAAATTTTGCCCCCCCCCCCCTTGTTGGTTCCCAGATCGGCCCCTGCAATGTGATGGAAACTTTATATTAGTCATGACCGGATATCTACAGTCAGTGGCAAACTGTAAGCAAACTATTTAAAGGCTTTGTATAAAAAACCTCTTACCTCATACCCTGGGTTTCCTCATTGAAAGCCCAACCTACCCATCTATGTGGGACATGATACAGTCATTGAAGGGTTCAATTTTAAAGATTTTTAAATCTCAAAATAGCTATTATTAGACTCCAGATTGAAAATCTGGAGTCTATTGTTTTTGCCTGTTTTCTTATTATTCCTCTTCTTCTTCTTCTTTCTTCCTCCTAACAGATTTTCTCTCCAACTATAACATCTTACTTAATCCAACCTACATGGTTGACTAGGGAATGTATCTGGCTTTCTGGGAAATTAGGTCAAATTTTTATCTAGGTCATAGGTCAAGAACTAGGTCAAATCTTGGATTTTCACTAATTCACCACTTTTCTCAGTCGTCTTTCAATATTTTCGCTCCGGGTTTTTTTCATCATGTTCCTTGGAAAAAACGCTAATTCCGTAAGGCAAATCGTTTTTTGATTACTCTTACCGATTTTGAGATATTGCGTCCGAAAAGTAGGTCAGAACATAAAGTTCTCCAAATTCAACATGTGAGTTATGAAATAAGTGTAGCATGATCTCAGGAATCCGAATCTGCAAACAAAATTTGAATCGGACTTCCGGTTCGGAAGTTATGGCGTTTTGAAAGCTCAAAAATCGCTAAATTTGGTACCTATGTTAAGTCAATGGGAAAAAAGACTTTTTCGAAGTGTAAAATACAAGATATAGACTGAGTACAGCTAAACATAATGAATGCTTATAAAAGAAGGGGACCTCAAAAGCTACATAGCTTCAAAATTTGGACACCAAAATGCCTAGGTCAAAATCTAGGTCAAATTCATAGTTTTTCCTTATTTTTAAGTGCTAATAGTGTTAGCCTTTTGCCGTCAGAAAGTATTTTGACCCACTATTGAGATATGGTGTCCGAAAAGTAGGTCAAAATAAAAAGTTCTCCAAATTTAACATATGAGCTATGAATTAAGGGTAAATTTTATCCAGGAATCCGAATCTGCAAACCAAATTTCAATCCGACTTTCGGTTCGGAAGTTATGGCGTTTTGAAAGCTCAAAAATCGCTAAATTTGGTGCCCCATGTTATGTCAATGAGAAAAAAGATTTTTTTTGAAGTGTAAAATACCAGATATAAACTGAGTACAGCTTAACATTCTGAAAGCCTATAAAAGAAGGGGACCTCGAAGGCCATCTAGCTTTAAAATTTGGACACCAAAATGCCTAGGTCAAAATCTAGGTCAAATTCATAGTTTTTCCTTGTTTTTGCGATTCTGACATTACACTTTAATGATTTGCTTCGAAATTTTGTATACAGGTAGCAAAGAGTGTGCTCATAGTGTTAGCCTCTGCCGTCAGAAAGTATTTTGCCCCACTTTTGAGATATGGTGTCCGAAAAGTAGGTCAAAATAAAAAGTTCTCCAAATTTAACGTATGAGTTATGAATTCAGGGTAGAATTTTCTAAGGAATCAGAATCTTTAAACCAAATTTCGATCCAACTTCTGATTAGATAGTTATAGCGGTTTGAAGTCTCGAAAAGTCGATATGATGATATCCCCATGTTAAGCCAATGGAGTCGAAGATAACATTCTTAAGGGTTGTCTAAATGTCTATATTCTAGCTGACTCAGCTTATTCTGAATGACTCAGCTTACAAGTATTTGGATGACTCAGCTTAAAAAAAGTCTGAAATCTGGAGTCTTAAATTGAACTTGTTCAATTTACATGTCTAGTTATTAATATTTCTACAATTCCAGCTTTATTTTATGACTAGACGGATGACAGATCCATAAATAAAGGCATATGGGTGCATTGTAATGTGTAATGAACCCTTCTGAGGTAGGAGGTTTTTTATACAAAGCCTCAGAACTACTCAACGGCAAGCTTTACCCACGTCAATCTGGGCTGCTGCGTGTTCGTTATTAGCCTTATTGCTCAGCAGGCATTCGTGTTTGCAAACAGTACATGTTACTTTGACGATGGGCATTCAATGAAAGCCCATGCTACAACCTTCTGGTTATTTAGCTCAGCAAAGGTGATTTCAAGTTCCTTTATTTTGTTGACCAATATAATATAGTGTTCCTTTAAGGCACTCTGTGTATTTTCAATGTTTTTGGGCAAAATAAAACTTTTATATGAATTCTATAGAATGTTAGATGTATTGATAAGAACCCTATCTTTCATTTGACACCGACAACAGCTCAAACGGACCACATCAAAGCTTACAATAATTAATCAAAAAATATTTTCGATCTGTCGAGCTTTAAATATCAAGTTTTTATCACTGTCATTGAAAGATGGCGAAGTTGTTTTTAAGTGACGCCATCTTTTAAATCAAAAGTAATTAAAAACATGCACTTTGTTTAGCATGTGCATTGTGCATGCATGTCTAATGATATCTGAACTTCAAATGGATTATTCTTTGTGAGTCCTTTTATTTTGCTTGGTTCAATCATAAAGCAAATCAAACTTTGTGTCATATTTGAGCGAGTGTGTGAGTAATATGTTTCAATGATAATTTTTTTTCTTCTAAATTAAGTATAGTGCATGGCCTTTAAGACCACTTACACCCAACGATGCTATCGTTTTAACTGCGTCGATGCCATTGTCATCATTAACCGTGTCTTTTTGAACAAAAGTCTCTATCGGGACCTCTACGCAATTTCAATCCCAAATCAATTGATATTACCAACCTTGTCTGCCATAGCTTGTGGTGCTTCCAAAAGAGTTTCTCTCATTTCACACAATAGACCCTCGTCAAACTCGTCACCCAATGACTACATGTAGTCTATATCCAATAGACTGAATTCCTGAGAATTCAGTCTATTGATGATTAAGCATGTCCCTCCTGTGGGAAAAAACAGGAATATCCTGCACACAATTATCAATTTAAGGAAACTTCACTTCCAAAAAATAATAGCGCTTGCGCTAATGTTTATTGTACAAAAAATACCTGACTTGAAATAAATATTGATATGATATATATGACCCAATCGGCCATTTTGAATGGCACTTCCTTCGTAAACAAATAATTTTCAACCCCAAATTTTCAGGTTCAGTGTGCCAAGATGACAATATCTCAATCTCTCCAATATGCGGTGGGGCATATATGATAACAAAACGATGTTGGTGTATAGTGCATGTACAATAGTACACAATGTTATATTTCAGTATGTGTTAGGTAAGTTTTTACATGTTGCATAAAGAGTTTGATTCTAAAATGTAACCAACAAACAACAATATGCTGCAAGATTCTTGGATGGGTCATTTGCGACAGCCGACAAGTAGCTTACAACAAGCTTCATTCTTGCATGGCTATGCATATTTATACTCTTGTTTCAAGCATCAGTGCCCCCCTCCCAATGTTTTCCCCAGCTAGAGTAAAGAGACAAGAGCTTGAGGCAAGAACAAGGTTTTATATGTTAATAACAAAATATGACATAAACCTGATCATTATAGGCTAATTTACATTTCAAAAATCAATAAATTATCATTTGACCATATAGAATTCACTTAAAATCCAATAAATATACCAGTAACATTTTTAAGAACATATTTAGTGTGCCACGGCTGTTAATCTCTTCCTGATTAACCCTAAACTATATTTAATGTTATGTGATATATAACTTTCACAATTAACAGACATAGACTTTATTTTCTGGAATCATTGAAATATAAAAACCATTCATGAAGAAAAGAATTAACTCTTAAAAACTGAAAATTCTTAAGGAAAAGCCGTGAGTACTGTACTGCTTTGAAGGTTAGGAATTTTTACGAGATTTAATATTTTCAAAAAATAAGGTTGGAATTAGAATACACATTGGGGCTATTGAGGATGAGAATTACAACTACACTATTTAAGTAGTCTTTAAGTAGTCAAGTAACATCATTACAGTATGTTCATGGGCTCTCTCTTGGGTCAGATGATGTATCCAGAATAAATGCATAAAATAACTTACATGTACTTTGGTTATCTTTAGGTATATGTGTGGGATAGCATGAGAGGACTTAGGTTCAATTTCTAAAGTACATGCACTGGCAGATCTAGGGGAGGGGGGGGCATTCTTTTGTGGGCCCAGAAAAATGTTCAAGGCCCCAAAACTTTTGGACCCAAAAATTATGAGCCTAGCGCCTCAAAAATGGGTCTCTTAGGATAGGCCAAATTAACAAAAAAAAAATGGGCCTTAAAATTTTTCCAGCCTCATTTGCCCCCCCCCCCCTTGTTAGCTTCTGGATCAGCCAGTGACATGGGGCAATTAATTTCACTTAACTTACTTTCTAATGGCTTCTTGCACTACAATAGACCTGGTTGTTCATTAGTTATTTCTTTCCCTAAGGGAAGTTACTTTAAAAGCATTTCATATAATTATTAATAAATAAAATAATATTTATTGAAATATTTACAACTACTTGTAGATGTATTCTGCAAACAGCAGGAAACAAACATATATATTCTCACTCGAGTCAGTGTCAATATACAATGAACTTCAATTTGTGAATCTTTTCACATTGTCATGTTGAGTTATCTTTCTTAGATGGATATATGAGCTTATAATTTTCTCTTAAAATAAATTTTAACAAAACTGTTCCGCATATAATATTAGTCCCCAAGAGCAACTCTTCAAATCAATTTAATACATATGGATGTATCAAATGATCATATGTCATAAGGATATCAAAATACATGTAAAATGTGTTTTAAACTCCATTTAATGACTAATAACCCATTCATGGAAAATGCACGTAAAATATTTTATGAATATGACTAGATATCAGGTGCTGTAGGACTTGTACTACAACACATACAATTCCCTGGGTATTCATTAATTCACTTACATAAGTATCTTTTAACATCAACAAAAATGTATATAAATACATGCGCATACAACCAAATAGCATAAAAGTATAATATTATCAGAATCAGATCAAGAGAGCAACGTTCCAAAAAATTCTGTATTCAGTATCTTTTTGTCTTTTCAGGCCTATCAATTGATGGAATACAAAGATGTTGATGGTTTGTCTTAATTCAACTAAATATCCCCATTTTGAATCTATGTTGGCCTGATTGCTGTGCAATGCACTATCATTGTAGATTAATAAAAGTCATAGTACAAAGATTTCATGTAGAAATGTTAAATTTGAACTCTTCTTTTATTATTCGTGAAAGTATCACAGACATAGTACTGTACTTTATTTTGATTACAATTCAACACTTTGGTTGGAAAAAATCTTTTAAAAAAAATCTTTTAAATCATGTTGTCTCCTCTGTACCTCTGATTCCAATTCTAGCTTTATATGAAGCATACATGTATTTTGGAACATGTGATTAAGGAGTACCACAGTACCACTTTACAGTACTATGATGCTGTGCTTACTGTACTGCACTGTACTGAACTGCACTGTACTTTGTTGTACTGTATCATACAATGATGTCCTATACCATACAGAATGTACTGTACTGTACTGTACTACCGTACCATACTGCACTACATGCACTGTACTGTACTACGATGTACTACACTGTACTATGCTGTAGTAGCACTGTACTGCATTGCATTAAACCGTACTGTATAACGATGTACTACACTGTACTATGCTGAAGTATACTGTACTGCATTGCATTATACTGTACTGTACAAGGATGTACTACACTGTACTATGCTGTAGTAGTACTGTACTGCATTGCATTATACTGTACTGTACAATGATGTAAAACACTGTTCTATGCCGTAGTATACTGTACTGCATTGCATTATACTGTACTGTTTAACGATGTACTACACTGTACTATGCTGTAGTATACTGTACTGCATTACATTATACTGTACTGTATAACGATGTACTACAATGTACTATGCTGTTCTATAATGTACTATATGTTGTCTTGAGCATCTTGGATATTGTCTATTATATGATTAAAGTAACATCTACTGGCTCCAAAAGAAATATGAGGACAATGTGACCTTTTATTTACAATGTAAATATTCATACATTATCATGCTTATAGCCTACAGTGTCCATGTATCATACAATACATGTATGTTCATATCGTGCAAAATGTCCATTTATCATACAATATGCTCATATCATAAATTTCCATGTCTGTGTATCTTACAATATGTCCATTTAATACAATATGTTCACATCATACAATTTGTACATATCACAAAGATAATCTGATGCTCGAGTTGCTTGTGATGAATGGTGAAGAATTGTGACCTCAGATTATCATATGTACATAGAATTCTATATTACATATTGTATATAACACCTTATATGGCAATTGCAATTGCATAATATGTAATTCCTGGGTATCCGACATGTGCATTGCTTGAATACTCAACCATGATTCATTCAAAAGTTGTGAAAACAAACTTCATTGGCATAAAAGATTATAACATGTTGCACGAGGATCAATCTAATACCGCATCACTATTTGTAAATGAGCATCAATGTGGACACTATATATATGGATAAATATGCAACATGAGAATCAATGTGGGACATTGGGTCAGTAACATGAGAATCAATGTGGGACTGTATATTTGTATGCAAACACAAGAATCAATGTGGGACCATGGATTAATATGTAACATAAGAATCAATGTGGGACCATGGATTTTTGTGTAACATGAGAATCAAGTGGGACCATGGATTATTGTGTAACATGAGAATCAAGTGGGACCATAGGTTAACATGTAATGGCATTTATTGGCAAGTCATACCATATTCTTCATATTTGACTTCAGTATATAGGCTACTGCACAAACTCCTAAATAGGAACACCTCAGCAACTGAAGACTTTAGGCTGGTCTATAGCTAAGTTAGCATTCATATAGGCTTACTGAGATGCTCCGATCAAGACAAAAGCTCCTTGCAAAAGCTCCATGCAAAAGCTCCTTGCAGTGACTCCAGACAATAGCTCCATGCAATTAGCTTACTTCAATACATCTAACATACTGTAAATTAGTAGATAGTTTATTCTGCCACCCCTCCCCTCGAGACCCCATCACCTAGACTACAAAGACTAATATCATGTGCCACACCCTATTCTCTATGGGCTGTGGCCATTAAGTCATCAATTGACCCCAACTTTATTTTCCAGAATTCTAAAATTTTCAGCACTACTTTGAAAAGTTGTGGCCATCTCTAACTACAATGAATGCACTTCTTAGGATCACTACTCAATGAATAATTTATATTTACAGTATGTCAAAATAAATGCTATATTCTACAGGGTGTCAAATAAATATGTTCACTCCCCCTTAATTTCAAAAGTACATGTATGAACTTTTGTGCGTAAATGGGCATCTAGTTGAGCTGTTCATCTGAAATTTTTTTCAAGTTGCTCCATGAAGCGTAGTTTTAATATGCTGAAAAGCAATTTAGATTTTATGCAGACAAAAAAGTTAGTCAACATTATGTGGATGTTAAAGCAAATGGGGGAGAACATATTTATTTGACACCCTGTAGTAATATTTCTGAGTCCTGGCTTAAAACAGATCTAAATGTGGCACATGACAAGTGTCTATCAGACTTAATCACTGCATCTTTCAAATTCTGATTTCATTTCTAAAATGGATGATTACATGTAAATAGTCTACTTTAAATCCTATGTACATAATTCTATATACTGAGTGTTCCAGAAGACATTGAACAGTTTGTTTATTTCACAAAAAGGTGCAATAAATCAAATGAAATGGAACACTTTGATTGTACATGCATATATGCTAATTCGTTGTTCAGTTTCTTAACACAGTAAAAATAGCCTTTAACAATAAGTAAGCATATAGTATACTAAAGTAAGCCTAAAACTCCATATATGTAACTGCAACATTATGTAACATTTGGAACATTCAGTATACAGAATAAAAAAAGTCAACAAAGACACATTATAAATTATTGTGCAAACAAAAACTGCACTAAGTTCTGTATATCATGGAACGTCTTATAATTGTAATTGTCTCATAGAACCATAGTTCTAACTTACATCATGGCAAATGATAAACTTGGCAATACCTTGGTCCTGGTACAGTACATTCAATCTGGAGTAGAGGGTAACCTGGAATACAGGGTGACCTGGAGTAGAGGATGACCTTAAATACAGGGTGACCTGGGGTAGAGGGTGACCTGGAATACAGGGTGACCTGGGGTAGAGGGTGACCTAAAGTACAGGGTGACCTGGAGTAGAAGTTGACCTAGAATACAGGGTGACCTGGAGTATAGGTTGAGAAGGTAACCGAGACTAAAGGTACAGTGTAATTCAGAGTACAGGATAGCCCAGATTACAGGATAACCAAGAATACATGGACAAGGTAACCCTGGAGTTCAGGTATAGCCCAAGCTGCATGCAATTTGATGTTCTTAATTAATGTTGTAAAAATAAGCTGCTTCAACAAATGACTTCCCTGTGAAAAATCTTATTCAGGACACCAAAGTGATATTGCATATAGTTCAACCATTTGCCAATAGATGTCATTGGATTGTACACCAAGATGATGATTCCTCATTATCATCTTTAGGTTCGGGTTTAACAACTGTTTGTTGGTTCATGTCAACTATAGTTTCTTTAGGTGTGGGCCCTAGTCACCTTGCTATATGCTCTCGTATCTTCACAGGTTTGTTTCCTAAGATCTTGTCAAGCTCTGCCATTATGGCAGGTGTAAGTTTTGAAACATACTGAAATGACAATCGGAAGTATATTACATATAATCAAGCACAGGCCTTTAGTGACTTGTCGAAATTGTACTGAATTATTTAGTGAGTATAAAATACATGTCAAGGATGAGGTACCTTAAATAACTCTCTGGATCATAAATGGAGGTCTGCGTCCAGTATCTCATTTTGTACCAGACGAAAATACTGGACGCATTTCTACCCCCTGAAATTGTTTCTACCAGAAAAATATGTAAAGAAATCAAACATGTCATCGAAAAGGAAGTCATTTAAATTTAAAAAATAGACTTCAGTGAGATTTCAAAGCAATAAACATGTAGCAAAGCCCTGTATTAATCAATGTCATTTTACAATATCTGAAAGATTTGTTGATAAAAAAAAAGATGTACCTGAATTGACTGCATATTTTCGTAGAGCTGGTCCACATTAGAAGCTCCTAGCAGAACACAGTGGACATTGTCATTCCTCAGACACCAAGCTAAAGATATTTAAACATAGGATATATTAAATCAAATATTATATTTAAATCACCCCCCTGGCCTGTATCTCTCTTGCCCCCTTTCTCAAACAAATGATGTTGACCAACAGTGCATGTTCTAATTTTTGAAATGGTGTTACAGGTAATACAAGAATCTATATTGTTATGTACGATATTTATGTTGCCCTTTGTGCTTTCTGTAAGGAGGATTAAATCCAATTTTATTTGAGTTATACATGTAAGGGACTGTAAAACAGTCATGCTTTCATTTTGCTAAATGTGGATAAAAATATTTTCGATAATATGTCATAACACAAATGGGCAGATATATAAGGGTTATGTACTGAGAGGTTTTTGATACAGGGTTTATCCCAAGGGAAATATCAAATATCTCCCGAGGGACTGCAGTGAGCACATATGTATTTATGGAACTATTGTACATTTAAAAGGGACTAGGTCAACAGAAAGATGGCAGCACAGTGGGCTGTCTTGCAGAGTACTGCTGCCATCTTTCTTTGACCTTTGTGTCTATATTTACAACCACTGTGTCTATCAGTACTCATATGTGAATTCAATGACACCCTGGGGGTTTTACTGTATACATGCTGTATACAAACTATGGTGGGGGTCCTAGGCTGAACCCTCAGATATCAGAGTATGTTCCCATACCAATCTGTCAAATGTTTTACCAACCAAATTGTATTAAATCACACCCTAATGCCATACCAAATGTCCACCTCCCAGGAAAATATTTATATTCATAAGTCATATTTTATTGCCATACCGGATGTTAAAAAATTTACCCCTCATGGCCGAGGATCCTGTCAATTTTTAAGTGAACCCCCAAGGAGTGGTACGTGTACTTACCAATAGCAAGTTGTGATAATGAGCAGCCAATTTTATCTGCTATTACAGCTACTTCACGTAGCTGTGCCTGTTGTCGCCTTCCCTCCTCACTGAGTATCTTATCCTTAAGCCAGTTATATCCCTGTGTGGACAACTAAAGTATAATATCTGGGGGTGAGAAACAATGAACAGAACAGCCAGCCAGGCACAGCCAATACATACAATGTACAATACAGCAAATATGTACAGCAAAACTTCAAAGTTGAACACCTGTTTCGGATAAAAAAAAAGGTTTTACAAGGAATAACATTTTACATGCTCTACAAAAACAAGGGGTCGTCTAAAAGTCACACTAAATTGTATCTTTTATCCACTTTTCTAAATGCTAAACAAGAAACTTTAATGAACATCTTTATGTCTCTGGCGAAACAAACCACCTTCCAAACCCTTGTTTATGAAACATTCTTTTGGAAGTTTAATTTCAAAAAAGGTACACTAAATTTTTAGTTTTTTTAAATGGTGTTTAGTCACCATATTACCAATAATACAGCAACCATAGAAAGACAAACAGGTGTTCAACTTTTCAGCTTCATACTGACAATCCTATATTATATATATACTTTGCATGGTCACATGACACATCCACTTTTAACATCCGAGGGCCCCACATACAACATTTGTGCTTGATACATACAGCATCTCATTTTGATTGAACCACAATTTGCAAATTTTTCTCTCATGCACTCAAGGGAATTTAGCAGATGCATCATGGGTTTGATCAAGATAAAACTGAAATCCATTACATAATTGATTTAAGTCTGAGAGTTTAGAGATGATTATTTTGATCGAGCCTTTGGAAACGAGAGAAAACGCCACAGTTGTGGTTTAAGGGCCCCTTATACACACAACAATGTAGAAGGTATTGCACAGTTGGAAAAGGCACAGTAGGGCACTACATATAAAGTCACATGTACATGTATGCACAATATGCAATCGGGATATAACGGGTGAACCATTATAGAAGTGAAGGAGAGAGGATCTAACCTCTATACTCAACCGGAATAATTGAAAAAACAAGATGGCGATTTTCTCCCATTGGCCCAATTATTGCATAATATTTCAATTTTTTTTCGTTCCATTAAAGTTTGAAAAATTACTAAATGATATTAGATCTCTCAAGTTTTAATGTTAAAACTGCGTCAATCAAAGTGACCTATGACATATACATGTAACTCATTAAAGTTAGTGTTTTCCTCAAATTTTGCCCTTGGTGGTTTTTCAATTAAGGGCATATAAGAACAACAATTGTATTTGTACATTAAAAGTCAACATTGTGATGCTATATTGATCCTACAAGCTGGAAAGCTGGATTTGGTATAATTTTCATCCATGGAACCAATCAGACAATTGCTTTTATTTATATTTCTAAATAATAGATATTAGGAATTAAAAGTGGAGCCAAAGACTGGAGTTGAGAGTAGCTTGTAAATTGTCATACTTATTTCTGATAACATGGATTTTAATTTTAATGCATTTGAAAATTTCTACATCTTAAATCATATCCATATATGATTAGATATCTCGATTCTTTTTTCAAATACCAAAATTAAGATTGCACTGGCAAACGATGTCATGGAATTTGAAAATATTGCATTTTACATTAGTCTCTGGTCTTTGCTGCCACTTTAAATTACAGCTCCATGGAGGAAACAGCTCCATTGAGGAAATAACCTTAGATAAAATGTCCTCAATGGATCACATTTATATCTTATCTAATTACAAGTACCACAGAACACAAGAATGATCCTGTGAGTGCAAAAAGCGAGGTTTCATAGCTGGCGTTAATTGCATCAGAGTATTAATAATTGACACAAGGGAAAATTCAGACACAGTTACCATACATGGTCAACAGCCGCAATAACCATATATGGCCAACAGCCGTGCAATGTCAAATAATTCCAATAAAGGTGAATGTATGAATGAGGCATACATGTAGCTCCAAGATGGAAAGACTTATAATGGCCATAAATTAAGAATCTAATAGGAAAACCATCCAAGGAATAAAACATTCATTAAAGTGCTACAAATGTAAGTCAGATACTGCAAACACAATTAGTAGCTCATATCTCATATTCTCTTGATCTTTACATCAAACACAGTTTTTCATGCATCGATCTATCAATGTATCTAATCTATCAAAATGAATATCAGATGTTGAGAAAAATCAATGACTTACGCCCCTAAATCATCATTTTGTTAATAAAACACTTCAGATTGATGATCATACGTTGCTTATTTCCTGTTTTTTACTTTATCAATGTACAGCACATGTCAGAATCTATGTAATTAATATCGAAAAGGAACGAACTGTTCCATAAATCAACAATGAGGATTTATTTTCCAATATTATTTTACCAAATTGATTTCTCATTTAGATTGTTTTCGGCATTATTTTTTAACCAAAATTTCATATTCCAATCAGTCTGGTTGAACAGGTATAATGTCTGTAAGATCGAAAAATGTGTTTAATGTTAGGTTTAGAAAGATATGATCGACTAATTTAGGGAGTGCTACATATAGAGGTTATTTACTCAGAGGGATAGAATATGAGTTTTATACGAAGTGCTTGGTATGATAAAACCCATATTTAATTCCCAAACGGGAGATACATGTTTTATACCATGATATTGGCACCATTATACTACAATAAAATTGTAAGAAAATGAAAAATGTTGAAAAATGTAACTTTTTGAGAAATGAAATTTTTGAAAAAATAAAATTTAAAAAATGACATTTTTGAAAAATGATTTAAATTTTTGAAAAATGGAACTTTTTGGAACAATTTTGTCAATTATATTTCTTTAATGTAATGAAGTACTGTAGTGTCATGGTATAAATATGTTTATCTGGCACAGTCCTTTTATCATATAAAATGTAAAGCTTTGTTATATCCAGATATATGATGCTAGTAAATATACATAATGCTAGACAGTGCAGGTGCATAATTCAAACAAGACACAGCAGTATGTTAATTATAAAGGATACAAAAGATTTAGCAAAATACAAACAATTAAATCAGGGAATACATATTATTATTATTATTAAACAAGATATTTGAAAAATTAATTCCAAAAAGTTGTTCTGAACTATCATCTTAATGATGGGTCAACTAAGCAAGTGCTCTCGAAAGAATATCAATAAGTTCACCTTTTCCTTCCACTACAAAAACACCAAAAAGAGTAAATTACAAACACGGGATAAAATGTTAGAATGTCCAATTAAAACATAGCTGTTACTAACACCATAAAAGGTGAGTAATGTGAGTACAGGGTGAGCTTTTTACCTTTAGAGCTGCTCTTGAATATATAGGAACACCATCATCATATTTGCCAGTCAGGATGCCACATGCCAGTGGAGACCAAGTCATACAACCAATACCTGGAATAAGTTTGATTGTTGTAGGGCAACATGGAAATTCAATTAAAAAAATGAAAAGGAAAGGAAGGCATATTTTTAATTTCTTCACAAAGTTTAGGCCAGAGTAAATTAATAGGGAGTTTAAGCTTGCAATGTTTTTCACAACCTATACGTGAACGTAATATATTTAAGCGATGCATTTGTATGGGCGATTGTTCATATGTATAGGTTCAGGTTGCCGTTTCAATTTTATATGCACATTTAAACTCTGTATTGTTAAGATTTTACATATATATGTTTGTTTGTTTAAGATAAGTCTCTGTTCTGTTTTGATTCAATCCTGCAGTATATAGAATTTCTGTAGCTAAAACAGGGTAATGAATCAAAAATATAGATAAAAAATACCCCTACCCATTTTATTGTAAAGTTCTGGCATATTGACCTCAATTTTGTCTCTCTGATAAAGATGGTACTCGGCCTGCTCTGCGATCGGAGGTATCAGGTTGAATTGCCGTGCTACAGAATATGCCTCCTGCGAAAGTATAAACGAGGATGTACTATGTTGTTGAATAGTTTAGTATTAGTTATTATTGTATATTGTACACTATACTGACTGATATGTCATTGTGATGACAACAAAGATTCAATTAAAGATATACATGTATATATTATGATTAAATCAAATTATGAGGATGTTTTTCTCAATAGATGGAGTTAAGAGATGATGTCCAAACATCAGCAGCGTGGACTAACTTAATTTTATTAGTAAAGGGAGATATGGAGTTAGTAAAAATTACATGTTGATTTTTTGTAGGAGACAAATCAACATTTTCAAATTTTGTTACTATATAGGGAGTTTTTTTAAACAATAACTAACCAGATTTTTTATTGTGCTAAAGGTGAATTAAGGTAATTAATATTTAGTGATATGGTCGGATTTGAGATTCAATAACATTTTAGATTGATTTCCTTCCTTCATAAAAAAATGTACAGAAAGTGAATAAAACTCATAGATACAAACAATGCATATATAGGACTAGTACCCCTTCCCCATGTAATTTTTTATTGAGGTATTCAATAATATTGACCCCATCCCTAAATTCTCACCATTATCTCCATATTGCTCCATCTGGAGGTGCCCCAATACATTGCCCAGCCCTGATTGACTACATGAGTAAATGCACGCACAATCTCCTCCATTGGGGTGTGTGGGTCAGGCTTGTTAGCAAATACAAGATCAACATATTCCATTTGGAGTCTTTCTAAGGAGCCTTTCAAACCTGAAATTAGATTCACACATGACAAGGGGTTCTTTAACATTTTCTGACCAATCGTTCACATTATAGCCATTCTATATACTGATGAATTCAGTCCTAGCTGTGCTTTATTCTTAAATAGGGAATTTAGATAACTAATTTGTACCCATCAAAAGTGAAAATAAAAAACATAGAGAATACATTTAAAATTAAGTTGTAATAAGTTGCCAATAAATACCCCTCCTCAAGACAACATAGTGCAAAAATTTGGTTAAAAATAAATATTCTCAGACTGGGACTCTATTTATATAAACTAACTGAATAAAACGCTTTCAATCCTCTTATTTCAACAAACTTAAGTTAATATTGTAATATTTTACCTTCAATAATATGCTTTCTGGACAATCCTTTTTCCGTCTCTGCTCTGAAGGAAAAAGACAAAAATAAGGATAAAAAATCCTGAAAAAGATTATCTTGATGTATGTATAATTTACACATTAAATCCATTAAATTTGAGATGTTTCAAATATCAAAAGCAACAACAATGAAAAATTCCAAATATTCCAAATCTGACCAACTGACACCTTTGTATACAAAATGCCACTCCATACACGTAATTCAAACAACAATTTCATTTCAGCTAATTAATGATTTTCAAATTATAAGGAATTATTTGAAATCATTTTTAAAACTAAATAGAGCAATGCAAAGGTAAATGCAGGCTTATTTTAAAATTAGGGTGAGTGGAGGGGGAGGTGTGGTTCATATGGGCTTTGAAATTAATGAATTGACTTACTTTCCTCCCCAGTAAATCTTTGTACATATGATGTAACTGGATCTCCTGGAAAATATAACATCTCAAATATATTATAATATGATATAACTAATTGGGACTCCTTATTCTCAAGATTTCAAATTTATTATCATATCATCAGGAACTTGGAAGTTTTAATAGGTAGTTATAACAACTCAATCATTTCCTCTGTGAGATTTATCTCCAAGATAAGATTATAAAGTGGTCGTTCTATTTCTCCAAGAAAATGTAGTATAATCAAATTGAGTAAATCTTTTTCTGGGACCTCAAATCAATAAATATGTTCATGTAGTACAGGCCTGATTATAGGACAATAAATTCTTTCAGCTTCTTAACCAATCATTGTATAAGGTTAATTAAAAATAAAATGAAATAAAACACCAAGCTCTGTAGAACAAACATACATGTACATACCTCCATGCTTTTTTCTTGAATATCTTCCCCAGCACTATTTCTGCCCTGAAAGTGCAAAGAATCTAATGTTATTACATGTCCACTGCACAAAACAACATACATGTTCAACCAGAAAAGGCTAGGCAAGGTAAACAGACTGTATCATTCCTACAACAGAGGAATTCTTCTAAATAAGGAATGACCAGAATGTAAGAAACAGTGTGTGAGAGTTAGAGGTTTTATTTACTGACACTTCAGCTTCGATGAGGTTTTTTATTGATCTAGTGGTTCAGTTATCAAAGGGCATCCCTGGAGGGTGCTACATCAAAAGGGTTAGCTTAACTCTCGGCAGATATTGCCGATTAGCAATACGATGGCATTAGTTACAAATTGTCCACACATACGATTCCTCCAAGCCAAATAAATCTCCCACTGGAATTACTTCACACAATCACTCTCCATTTTTTCTTATTCTCTTGCACATGAATGATCAATTCAGGAATCTGATGATTGCGGATTTGCTGTATCTAATCATCTAATACCAAAGTTCTTGATTCTGAACTTTGGGACTGAAAGTGTCTGACTGATTGTTTTACTTCACTTAGATTCAATTTCTTCCTGAGTTTTTTTAATCTCTTTTTATTACCGCACAATCTGAATCACGTACAATTTAGTTTCATTTACAGCCCATTTTGACCCAGATTTTGACCATATTAAAAAAATTGTTAGACCATTTTAAAATAGGCCACTCCATAATGACAGTTCATTTTTATATCCCACCACTGCAATCAAATGAAGCGACTATTTCATTGTGTTATATTTCCAATATCTTTTCTTCAGTGAAAATCAATATAGCTCTGAGACCACTAATCTGCTATATTCAAAAGGCATTACATGACACAGTGTCTTAATTCAGGCACGTAATTATGATTTTTATGTTGCTCAAAGCAAAGAAATAACAGAAGAAGTAATAAAAAAATAATAAAATGTTTTTAATTACAGTATTGCAGTGTGTTTGTTTGTCATTGCGTATGAGCATAACATGAAAAGATATTAAATAGGTGGCCTGCAAGAACTATGCCTTCTTTTTCATACACTTTAGTGTAATATTTTAGTCTAAATATAAAATTCATATGAGGGACTGAATATGGTTTATATCTTGAGTATAATATGCTAGTTACCAGATTTATTCACAAAGAATTCATATATCATGGAGTAAATCATTTTAATCTTCTCACTATTTGAGGTTATATAAAATTGATATTTTTGTGGTAAAGACTGCATTTGTGGTGGCCTTGAACAACACATAACAGAATATCATTTATAATAGCAGATTCATACGATCACTTATCGTGTATCTCAAGGCACACCAAATCACTTTGTAAAGATCCTAGTACTTTGTACTTTAACATATAGCTTAATGGAAAATAATAACTTCTCCAAGAGATTATGTTTCCTATTTGATGATAATTTACGATAATTGATTTGGAGAAATACATGAATTATATAAGTCCCAAGAGAGACATTAGGCCTAATGATTCCATTTCTACAATACATGATATACACGATTTAACACAATGTTCTGATGCAAACTACAGAAGTATCCTATGAAATATTTACCAGTGAAAATAATAGAACTGGTTGAGAGCCTTTCATGTTCGCGAAGGAAGGTTTCTTTCTAACCTCCATAATAAAATGCAAAGATATATTGAAGTAATTGTCCAGAGTTTAAATGCAAGAATAGTGTGAACAGATATGTAACATTAACATACCAAATGCAAAAATAGTGTGAACAGATATGTAACATTAACATACCAATGTTGAGAAATATTACACATATTTTTATCCTGACACACATTTGTGTAATTAAGAAAGTGAAGATTCTGCCCATTTTTCCTAAAATCTTATCAAACTTTCTTTATTAAGACTATCCAGTTTGTTACTGAAACGGATCCATGGTTTAATTGAGGTAATATTTTATTATGAAGAGATGACCCTGAGTGCAAGTCTTAGTAAGCAGATGAAACACAGGCCCATAGCCAGCTTTTGACAAGGGATTCACTTTTCAAAAAAATTCCAAGGGGGTTCACATTTGCCAAATTTGAAATGGTGACAAACTATATGATTTTGGAAGAATTTTTGGTCAAAGCGCTTCACTCAAACCCAGCTCCCAACCCCCCTGCCTTGAAGCTCTCAAGTTTCAAATAAGTGAAAGCAAATGAATTCTTGATCATATAAAAATATGTTTATTTTACTTACTTTCCAGCTGCATAGACCTCTGCAGTATCGAACACATTGATTCCACTTTCGTAGGCCAACGTCACAAGCTCCTCCGCTGTCTGAAAGGTTTAATTCGATTCGATTCGTTTCGATTTGTTATGTAATATGTTACAAGGTTGTGTCAATAAATAAATATAAAATAAATATAAATTATGAAACAATGAACAGATATTATATATTTGATGACACAACGCATTGTTGGTTTGAAGTATTACATTTTCTAAAAATAGTTCTAAGTTGCTACAGTTATAAGTTATCCTTATAATTGTTTTGGACAAACAACACAATATAACTGACTATCCTTCAGTTGATAGCAAACTCCAGGACTGTCAAAGTGGAGAGATGTACTGCTTATCTAACAAGATTGAATTGTAAGACTGACCACTATAAATAAATAAATAAATAAATAAACTAACTAAACTACATGTATATAACTTACATCATCCGTAATTTGAGCACCAAATGTCACCCATGTCCCTGAAATATTGAAAAAAAATCCATTACAAACATTTATAGGTATCAAATAATAAATATAATTAATTTTTATCACAGTGAATAAATAAATTGGTTGGATCTTTGAATTCTTATTGGTCATTCGTCCATGCTATCTATCTCAAGTGGTCATTTATTTCTCATCTCATATTATAAACGCGTAAAAATGTCAAAACAGTACATTATTTTGAATTAAGGTTTCTCTGTTGCCATAAAGATATGATAAAACATATTAACAAAGCAATGAATCCAAATTAAGCTTCAGACCTTTATTAGACTTTTATCCCAACTTGCCAAAACAATACAGTAAAGGGAGTATAGTTTAACTTTTAATTGGCTTTGATTAATTAAATAATGCTAACGTTTATTTCCAGCGGAATTTCCACAGGGAAATGTGTTATTTTGAATCGAAATGTTGAAATTGATAAGGCATTCAGCTGTGAAATAAGAACATGGAATCTTGGGCAAGAATCATACAATCTGAAAGTGCACCGAAGAGTCATCAATAATTCACGCTTAGTTGAATCATCACCAATGATGACTTTTAATGATTAAGTATAAAAGTTGGAATCGACATGATATATTGGAATCCATATGAAATATTGCAAAGGAAGACATTGCCAGATGATATATGAAATGTTTGATTTATTTAAAAATATATGATCATCAGTGACTACTTGATACACTTTTGACAAACAATTTTTTCTGTCACATGGACTTTTTATGATTTTATTCCCCAAAGGAGATACTCATTACATTAAATATGTTAAAATTGATGACAACCTTATTTGGTAAATTACTGTAAAAGTGTGCATTCGTTATATACCAAATATCGGTGTTTGAGCATTTAAATAATGGCAGATGGGAGGTTTATTGCATGTAGTTACACTATACAATTATCTCTAATAAATGGTTGAAGTTCTATCACTACCAAAACATAACCAACCACCTACAGTGATGTATTAAACAGAATTACGAATAATTTTGAGGATGCCTTGTGATGAAGAAACGCATCCATCTTCATTCACTCAGTTACCATTGGTTGCAGTGAAGACTAATCGTGCGAAGATAAAAAGTACCAGGATAAAGCTATAATTTGTGTTAAAGACTTGCATAAATGTCACAATCCTTTTACTTCTAAAGTATTCCTACTAAAATATACTACCCTATGGGCCAAAGGCTATTAGTAATTTCCATTCTCTGACTAGAAATTGTTAAAAACATGATGACCCTAAAGTAGTTATGATGAAGGTATGAAATAAACCCAAACTAGTTACAAAGGTAGACAAAATGTCACCACCTGCCATTTGTTACATTTGTTAGACGCTGAAAATCAACTGCCTACAGCAACCACGGAACACTGAACATCAACCATTGAACAACAAGTGCCGAACATAGTCCACATAAAAAGTTCGAGACTATTTACAATATGTCACCACTCACACCCGGTGATCGTGAAAATGGGACGGAGGGGGGGAGCAGGCAATTTCCGCTAGAAAATTCAACAAATCTGGTAAAATTATTTTTTCAAGACAGAGTTTACGATTGAATTGCAAATTGAATAAGCGCACGGTATGATAAAATATGTTAGGTATTCTAGGATTATTTTTCAACCGACACTCTTTTAAGATATAAGATCTATTAAAAAAGGCGCAACGCAACCAACGTGCAAAAGTCTAAGTTTTTGCTATAAATCAAGCAACAATGGACTACACGACCTGTAATAAATACTTGTAAGTGATGTTATCATAACTAAATTAATGTCATTGCTGAATTTATAAAATAAGTTTCCATACGTAAAATAAAAAATAATCGAAAATAATTAAAATGGGACGGAGGGGGGGAGGGGACGGAGGGGGGGAGTAATAATTCTATAAAGTGAAACAACTTCACACGAATTCTTGTATTTGAAAAATGAACTCATTAACTTAGTAAGAAACTGGATGATATACCCCTGGAGACTGAAAAATGGGGACATTTGGAGTAAAAGGACTTAAAGTCGCGAAACATCTCTTATCATGTCTTATATACATATTGCTCCCCCCCTCCGTCCCCTCCCCCCTCCATCCCAAATTCATTATTTTCGATTATTTTTTATTTCACATATGGAAACTTATTTTATAAATTCAGCAATGACATTAATTTGGTTATGATAACATCACTTACAAGTATTTATTACAGGTCGTCTAGACCATTGTTTCTTGATTTATAGCAAAAACGTTGATTTGTGCCTGTTGATGGCCTTGCGCCTTTTTTAATAGATCTCATACCTTAGATGCGTATCGTTTCAGAAAAAATCCCAGAAAACCTAACATATTCTACCATACCGTGTGCCTATCCATTTAGCAATTCAATAGTAAACTTTTTCTTGAAAAAATAAATCTTCCAGATTTGTTGAATTTCCTAGCAGAAATTGCCTGCTCCCCCCCTCCGTCCCATATTCACGATCACCGGGTGTGCCACTGAGGACATAAAAACCGCAGTAATTGGAAATCTGGGGAAATCCAGAGATTACTTTGTATTGTGGAGTTCATGAAGTTGAAGATGCAAGATCAAATTTTTGTATTGTAATACATACCAAGGCCTATATTGGACACCCGTAACCCAGATTTGCCAAGATTTCTGAAAATACACAGATAAAACATATGAGGTTTTTATTTCAGATTATGCAAAAGCTAAACAAATTGTACAATATAAATGATATTTAATATCTGTGAATGGTCACACATCTTGGTTAAAATATATTATACATCTAGTTATATAGGAAAGCTAGAAAAATGGCAGCTTCATGGAGAAGCAAATTCCCCCAAAGAAAGCTTGCTTCAACAAATCAATCTTAATTTAAACATTTTATGATAAGAATAACAAGACAAAAGTAGTGTCCCCCCTCTTAGCATTAATATTACAAATATGAAGAGGGAGGTCTTACGCCCATGAACCATTTCAAATGAGGGAGGATCTACAGTATGCCCATAATCCATTTCAAATGAGGGAGGACATATGCCCATAATGCACTTTCCTGTAAAATACAAATCAAATCTGGGGACTGCTGACATTTGGGTATATCATCGTTCAGACAGATGCGCAGACAAAAGAGATGGTTGAACAAACAAATGGACAGTTATATCCCTCTAGACCTCATTTTGTGGATCAACAAGCCCCAGAAACATGGATAAAAATTGAGTCTGGGTCCCATGCATGTTCCTGAGGCCTATGAGTGAAAGAGTAAAGTTACTGATAATATTTTTACCAGTTTACATACTATGGTACAAGTAGAGACAACATGTTTGGTTACATAAGTCATGCACTGGATAACATGTAACAACATTAGGTGGACCCTGGGCATGTATTTTCAATAATCCATTTTGGCCACTTATGGATCCCAATTGGGTGGTCTTATCGGAAATATGATTCAAAACAGTAATCTGATTTGAAACTCCATTATCTAAGCATCTACTAATGCAATCAACTTGTTTGTCTTGTTTAAAGGCTCATACTTTACTAACCCATGATCTTATTTAAAGGGTCATACTTTTTATACACCATGTATCCCAATGTCAAACTCTAATAAAGTACACCAGGCTGCTAAGCTGTAACATTTCTTTCCCACGGAGGCCTATTTTGTGGGATAACAAACTGGACTTGTTAACGACTTTGCCTCTAAAGGTAAATACAGCTATGCACCTCAAATAACACTTGTATCTGACTGCACCATAAACCTCATGAGTGAGCACCTCAAATGGCACCCCTCAAATAACACTTGTATCTGATTGCACCTTTAATTCTTCTCGTCAGTGAGCACCTCAAATAACACTTGTATCTGACTGCACCTTTAATGCTTCTCATCTGTGAGCACCTCAAATAACACTTGTATCTGGCTGCACCTTTAATGCTTCTCATCAGTGAGCACCTCAAATAACACTTGTATCTGACTGCACCTTTAATTCTTCTCATCAGTGAGCACCTCAAATGGCACCCCTCAAATAACACTTGTATCTGACTGCACCTTTAATTCTTCTCATCAGTGAGCACCTCAAATAATACTTTATCTGACTGCACCTTTAATGCTTCTCATCAGTGAGCACCTCAAATAACACTTGTATCTGACTGTACCTTTAATTCTTCTCATCAGTGAGCACACACATGCCAAAAGAAGAAACACCAAAAAGGCATTAACATGACAAAATGTCACCACCTAGTTGCTCACAATATTATAAGTTCAATCTAAAGTCAGATTTGAATTTCTGAGAACTGAGAACTGAGATGATTTTTAAAAAAATCGGTCAATTTGAAGCAAGTTGAAAAAAGACCATTTTTGACCCTGAGAAGGTAATTAAAGGTGAAATCTCAAATCTAAAGTCAGATTTGATCTTCTGAGAACTTGTAGATGATTTTGAAAAACAATTGGTCAATTTGAAGCAAGTTGAAAAAAGACCTTTTTCACCTTTTTTTACCATAAAATGGTCACTGAAGGTCAAATTATAAAGTCAGATTTGAACTTCTGAAAACTTGTAGATGATTTTGAAAAACTGAAGTCAGTCTGAACAGTATTTGTTAAGTTATTGGAAGTTTTAAGATTTTGTTACAGACACCAACCGCCACCCGCCATCACCCATCATCAACCGCCACCCGCCGATCGCCAACCGCTGTCACCAAAAAACGGAGACCATAACAATATGTCACCACTTTTGATGGCGACATAACAAGAATTATGAAATGTAACAAAAACATCAAAGAGAACAACCAGTCAAAAGAAAAACAAATCCCCAATATCCCAAGCGATGTTCTTACAAACAAAGTACTGTATGTAGCTAACACATCACTTACTCATCATTCAGAGATCATTTTTTGTGATCCAAAACAACAGGTCCACGGAACATTTCTTTCACTCCTGAAGGGATTGCAATACATGTGGAAAAATAGGAGAAATTCAGTCTAAAATTATGTGGGCCAGACAAAACTACTAATGTCAAAAAGGGTGAACAACCATAGAAAGCTGCTACCATGTAATAATACCATACCATGGGCTTTCAAGAGATTTCTGTTGAAAGCCCATGATAATACACAATATTTCAAACGGTCATCAAGAGAAATCTATGGATAGTTTCCATCCCTCATTCACTCCCTTATGCCATTTAGCCATGAAATATTCAGGGCTTCAAAATGTGGTTAAAAAGTATGTACATCTTGTATATTAGAAGTCACACGTAGGTGAGAGAAAAAACAATGCAATCTATGCTACTATATACTTGTAATCTGGAAAGAGGTAACGTTACATTCTCCAACCCCTACACTAAATGCCAGCCTAATTAGCACTAGGCCTGTTAGTTTCACAGACTAACAATCAATGTAATTGAAGCAGCTAACAAGATTTTTGGCTTGTTATGTAACATTTATCAGTTTCCAGACAATTAGATAGTAAGATGTCTAATGTTATGTAATGATATTGAATAAGGGATTCACCTATATTTATATTAAATTACTAGACTTTAAGATCGATCAAAACAGTTTCATTTTTTTCAGTTTTGCTCCAAGTCTCCCGCTAAACTCCTCAACTCTTGATACTCCAGCCATTTTATTTTGTCCCTTTTTATCTAAATCTTGTAAGAAACAGATTCATTATAAGACAAAAAATGTTCCAATGCATTCTCACATAATGTCATCCACTCTTTTATTGCAGAATAGCAGATGGTTTATATTGAGAAGATAGTTAAGTCATTCTGTAAGTAAAATCAATAGAACTTATTGAATTTCTGGAGTAAGTTTTAGTTGGGGCTCGCAGTAGCTCTATCTGCAACAGCTTCACACTTAACCTGCTATAGAACAGTGATTGAACATGGGTTCTGCTATAGAACAGTGATTGAACATGGGTTCTGCTAAGGAACAGTGATTGAACATGGGTTCTGCAAAGGAACAGTGATTGAACATGGGTTCTGCTATAGAACAGTGATTGAACATGGGTTCTGCTAAGGAACAGTGATTGAACATGCCCGGTTCTATGATGCACGGATTTATATTGCTTGATAAGCAAAAATATGCTGGATAATGGGTGAAATTACACCAGAAAATATCACAGTTCTTTCTTGTATATATGATTCAATTTTGACCAGTACATATAGATTTAAAATTGTCACGTAAGAAACGAGATATGTACAAATTTATTAAAGATTTAAAAGACCCATTTCCTTCACTTCTTATATTCTTAAATCCCGGTATCACCAGATCATGCAGCACTATAAGATTAGAGAGGGGCAATATAATCTGTATAACAAAACAAAAACCCTTCAATTCATTCATCGGAGCTAGAGTAAAAAAATATTACAATATTTGTACTTTTGTTTTTTGCAAAACAACAATAAAACACATTGAAAACAAGATAAAAGAGACAGAAACACAATCATTAATCATTGTAATACACCCAAAATGTTTAGACATTTTAGAACACCTGGGAAAAACAAACCAGCAATACCTGCAGGAATCTATTAATAGAGGAACAACCTTTAGTTTTTACCTACCATGATTTCTTATCAATGAACCACGATGGTATATAACTTATGTTTATAAGACAAACAGGTATTTTACAGTACATGCTATACTCTTCGTAACATTTCCAATACAGTCAATCCTGTATATCTGAACACCTCTCTAATCTGAACACCTCTCTAATCTGAATACCTCTCTTTCTCTTATCTAAACTCAATTGAACAAATTTTTCGATCACATAATCTGCCATTGACATAGATGTTAAAAACACTCATAATGTAAACACCCGCTAATCCGTATACTGGCCAGTCCCAGTGGCATTCAGATAAGACTGGTTCTACTGTTTTTTGTTTTTGCTTCTTTAAAAGTGAATCATCATCTCATGTACTAGGTCCTGACACGCATGGTACACTTTTAGTTCTAGTTTTATGTCACCACCAGAAGTGGTGACATAGACAGTGTTCTGTGTTCAGAGTTTGGTAGTTGGTGTTTGACATTAAGTAGTTGGTGTTCAGCGGTCGGCAGTCAGTGTCTGTAACAAATGGCATGTGGTGACATTTGCATGTCAATGCCTTTTGTTGAAGTCTGGTATATACATGCACCCTGAGACCCAGGTACTAGAAGTTATTACTGACCTCTAACTAGGATAGATATGATATTTTACAGATTATTTCTCTCTGTAGAGTACAGATGAAGTTACTGAATCATTTTCATGAAAAGGGTATCTGCTACATTTATATTTTTTCCAACTTTCATGGATGGCATTTTTCCAAAAAAAGCCAAAGAGGGTTGAGCTTGATTTCTATCACGTTATAGTTCACTCTTTAACAACTGTGTTAATTGAAAGCCTTAATTCCACACTTTGTATTCCAATGGAGCTAAATATAGTTCCAATGGAGCTAAATGTAGTCCAAAGGAGCTAAATGTAGTTCCAATGGAGCTAAATGTAGTCCAAAGGAGCTAAATGTAGTTCCAATGGAGCTAAATGTAGTTCTTACACACAAAGTATATGATTTCCAGGGTAAAGTATGATACATTGTAAATCTGGTACCATATATACAGTAGTATCACTAGCATTTAGTATACTATACACTGTTAAGTTTCTTTGCATGTTCCTTCTTGTATATGCCTTTTTATAG